GGGGGGGGGGGGGGGCTGGAAGGGGGCGGGGTCTGATTAACGAGGGGCGGGGCTTATTTGGGTGTGGTTCCTTGCCACGCCCCCCTCGATCGCCGATTGGCTGCCGCGGCCGTCACGTGCGGCGGCGGGGCGCGGGCTCTGCGATGGCGACGGCGGGTACGGAGCGTGGCGGGCGGGGGGCGCGGGACCCCGGGGACCCTCGGGGACCCCCGTGAGCCCCCGTGAGCCCCGACTTGTGAGCCCTGACTTGTGACCCCCGGCAGGCCCGGCGCGGCGGAGGCGGCCGGAGAGGGGGGAGGCGGCGGAGCCTCCCCCGAACCCCACCGGGTCCCCCAAGTCCTCCGGTACCGGCCCCGGGCTGGCGCGGCGGCTGCTGGGGTTCGAGCTCCGGGACCTGACGCGATGGCACCGCTTCGTCCGCCTGCTGCACCGGCCGCAGGATCCCGCTGCGCTCGGAGCTTTCCGTGCAGCTTTCGGTCAGCGGGGACGGAGCACCGGAGGGTCCCGGGTGGGACCGGGAGAGCCCCAAGGGCTTCGAGGGGACAGGGAGACCGGGCACGGGGGGACACCGGGGGGACAGAGGGGAACTGGGGGAGACCGGGGGGGGGCTAGGAGGGCTCTGAGGGCTCGGGGAACCCCCGGGATGGGGGGATCCAGGAGGACCCCGGGGGGAAGGAGATGGAGGGCTCGGGGGGTGGGCAGAGGGGAAACGGGGAACGGGGCAGTGGGGACCGGGGGTCCAGAGAGGCTCCGGGACGGATGGAGGGGCCCTGGGGGGACAGGGGAGCTGGGCCTGCAGGGGCTCAGGGAATCCAGGGACTCAGGGAGAGGAATTGAGGTCCGGGGAGCCCTGGCAGTGTCCAGCCCTGACACGTCAGCACAGGAGCAAAGATTGGGCAATGGCCTGGCTGGGTGGAGGGGTCAGTGCCTGCCCGGACACCCAGGGCTCCCTGAGGCCAGACGGGGACACAGCCACTGACCAATGGACGCTGGGTTCCCTCCCCCCATCTCCCCAGGACTGCTGATGGCCCTGGATGTGCCGCAGGAGCGGGGCCTGGGGCACCTGGACCAGCGGTACCTGGACGGGCTGGAGGTGTGTCGCTTCCCACTGCTGCCCTTCCTGCAGCCCCTGCCCCTGGACTGGATGTACATGCTCTACACCATCATGTTCCTGGGTACAGACGGGGACGGTGCTGGGGAGGAATGGGACAGGCAGGGGATGGCACTGGGGCAGAAATGGAGGTGGGATACCGGCAGGAACCGTGGTGGGGACTGGCTCTGGGGTGGGAACGGGCGCTGGGATGGACACTGGGACTGGAAGGGGAGCTGAGGGAGGCTGGGGAGAGGCACCAGGAGGGGACAGGGGTACACCAGGGGCTTTGTGCCCACAGGAGCGTTGGGCATCATGCTGGGCTGCTGCTACCGGCTGAGCTGCATCGTGTTCCTGTGCCCGTACTGGTACCTGCTGCTGCTGGACAAAACCTCCTGGAACAACCACTCCTACCTCTACGGGCTTCTGGGCTTCCAGCTGGCACTGATGGGTGCTGACCGCTACGGGTGGGCACCTGGGGGGCTGCAGGGACCCCCAAAGCTCAGGGATCCTGTGGGACACAGGGCATCCCAGGCTCTGGGGCACTGCAAGGCAGCAAGGTGGTGATGTGGGGCTGGGGTTCCCACAGGGTGACAGAGGTTTTGGGGTCCCTTGTGATGCCAGTGGGGTGGCCCAGACCCCACGGTCCCCGTGACACTGGGTCCCTTTAGGGTGGCACAGGTCCTGGGGTCTCCGTGGTTCTGTGTCCCCGGGTGCATCCCTGTGGCACTGTGTGCCCAGCTGGTGTCACCCCTGGCACTCTGTCCCCACTGTGTTCCCATCGTGCGGTGACACGTGGCTCTGGCACTGGTGACAGTGGCCTTGTCCCCCCCGTGCCCCCGCAGGTCCGTGGACGGGCTCTTCCGTCCCCAGAAGCGGAATGCCCACGTGCCGCTGTGGAACTACGCCCTGCTGCGTGCCCAGGTGGGTGTCCCTGCCCCGGGACCCCCAGGACCCCCCAGGACCCCCCAGGACCCCCTGACCCTGCCCCCCCCAGGTGTTCATCGTGTACTTCATCGCGGGGCTGAAGAAGCTGGACGCCGACTGGGTCGGGGGGTTCTCCATGGGGACCCTCGCCCGCCACTGGCTCTTTGCACCCTTCAGGTGAGGGGAGGGGTGAGAGGGTGGGTGAGGAGGAGGACGGTGCAGTGGTGGGGATGGGATGAGGGTGAGGGGTGCTTTGGAATGAGGATGAGGAGGGTGAAGAAGGGGGTTGGTGAGGGTGCAGTGGGATTGATGGGACCAAGGTGAGGTTGGGGAGGGGGTGATGATGGGGTGGCAGGAATGGGACACAGTGAGGAGGCTGAGGAGGCTGTAGGGAGGGGATGAGGATGAAGGCAGAGCTGGGCTGGGGAGGGTTGTGCAGTGAGGATGAGATGAAGGAGGTTTGATGGATTGGGGAAGGAGTGGGGCTGATGGACGGGGGTTAGGATGGGGCTGTGATGAGGAAGGGTCCAGGGGGATGGGTTTGGGTTGAGGATGAAGAATGTGGAGGGGACAGGGTGAGGCTGAGGACAGTGCTGGGGTGAGGCTGATGCTGAGGAAGGCTCCGTGGCCAGGCTGGTGATGTCTGAGGAGCTGACCAGCCGGCTGGTGGTGCACGGAGGGGGGCTGGTGCTCGACCTCTCTGCTGGCTTCCTGCTCTTCTTCGACGCCACGCGGCCCCTCGCCCTCGTCTTTGTCACCTACTTCCACTGCATGAACTCCCAGCTCTTCAGCATCGGTGAGGGGGGACATGGCACCCCCAGAGCATCTCAAACCTGGACACGGGACCCCTGGGTACCCCCAAAGACCCCCAACCAGGGCAGGCTCCCACCCTCCATGGCCAAAACCCCCCCCAGTCCTGAACAGGGGCGCGCAGACACCCCAAAAACATCTTGGCCCTGCGTAGGGACCCCCCAGCTTGTCCCGGACAGGGGCACCCCCCAGCCCAGGTGCAGGGGGGGTCTCTAAGTGTCATCCCCCCAGGCATGTTCTCCTACACCATGCTGGCCACCAACGGGCTCTTCTGCCGGCCTGAGTGGCCACGGGGGCTCGTGGCCCGCTGCCCGCCCCGGCTGCAGGGGTGGCTCCCCAGCACGAAGCCCCCCCAGCCCAGCCCCGACTGCCACTACGGGGGCCGGGGAGTGCAGGGCAGCCTTCGGCCTCGCCAGCACTTGGCCGCAGCCTTCACCATCCTCTACGTGCTGGAGCAGCTCTTCCTGCCTTACTCCCACTTCATCACCCAGGTGGGCACAGGGGGAGGGACTGGGGAGATGGTTTGGGGACAGATCTAAGAGGAAGAAGGAGTTTGGGAGACACGGGGAGGGGATTGGGGGATGTGGAGGGCATTTGGGGGCACATAGGGGGCAATTTGGTGTGTGAGGTGGGCATTTAGGATGGTAAAAGGGGGCTGATGGTAGGTGTGGGGGTCCCTGTCCCCTCCTCGTCCCCTGGAGTGGGGACACGACTGTGCTTTGTCTCCCCAGGGTTACAACAACTGGACCAACGGGCTCTATGGCTACTCCTGGGACATGATGGTCCACTCCCGCTTCCACCAGCACGTCAAAATCACCTACAGGGATGGGCTCACTGGGGAGGTGGGCTACCTGAAACCAGGGGTGAGTGAGCCCTGGGAGCACCTGAGATTGGGGTGAGCCAGGGCTGCAGAGGGATGGGGGTCTCTGATCAGTTTAGATAAATTCGGTGTTTTGAGCCAGGCCTCAGTTTTCCCAGTCCCTCATTTTCTCACCATGCCCGAGTTTCCCCCTTGTGACCAACCCCATCACTCCCAAATACGGGGACTTCCCCCTTGGGCCTCGGTTTCCTTCATCCCTCATTTTCCCCTCGCGTTTCCCCATCCCGCATTGCCTCAGTTTCCCCACGCTGCTGTCCCCGTGCCTCACCCCAGCTCCCTGCAGGCGTTCACGCAGAGCCGGCGCTGGCGGGACCACGCGGACATGCTCAAGCAGTACTCGGCCTGCCTGAGCCAGCTCCTGCCACGCTACAACGTCAGCCAGCCCCAGATCTACTTCGATGTCTGGGTGTCCATCAACGAGCGCTTCCAGCAGAGGTGGGACAGGGGGACAGGGAGGGGTGGGAGCTGTGAGCCCACAGCTCTGGGTGCTGCTGGAGCTTTCAGCTGGGCTCAGGGAGGACACAGGTTTGGGGGGAACACACAGACACGTGAGGGTGCTGCTGGCTTGTCCCCACACGTGGAGCTGTTGTGGTCCCCCAGTCACTGCCAGCAGCGGTTTGGGGGCAGGCACAGAATTTGGGGGTGCTGTGGGGTTTTGATACCTTGTCCCCTCAGACTTGTGGACCCCCGGGTGGATTTGGTCCGTGCCCCGTGGTCCCCGTGGACCCCCACGCCGTGGCTGCTCCCGCTGCTCGTGGATCTCTCTCCGTGGCGCCAGCGGCTGCAGGAGCTGGAGGCGCAGCTGGACGGACACACGGACGCCGTGTTCATTGCAGACTTCCCTGGTGGGGTCCTGGGGGCCACAGGGCATGGACAGGGAACGAAGGGTCCCAGGGGATCAAGGGCTGGGTACAGGTGGGAGAATCCCGAGGCTGAGTGGGGGTTTTGGGGTGCACAAGCAGGTCCCTGCAGTCAGTGGGAGGGAGTAGAGGACACGCGGGGTACCTGAGGGCTTGGAGGGACGTGGTACAGGGCACGGGGGGGTTTGGGGTGG